TTAGTCTTGAATATACAGTAGAAACTGTATTAAGAGACCACTCAAGAGAATAATGGAAAACGGTCTATCAATGGAAAAAAATGAAATGAATGGTGTTTTACGTCCTACTTTTTGCACCTTGTGGGCTAATGAAGACGGGCAACACCATGCAGGGTGTCATGGGGGAAATTTGGCCAGGTTTATTGTCCCATCCGAACGACTAGACGCTTTTTCCATGTCAGCCCCTCTTACTTGCATCACTGACAGGTGGTCTCTTAGAAGAGAATAGGGTCAGAATAAACACCACAACTATTTTGTTATGGCAGTCACTTTTTAGATTTAGATTGATTAATTAATAATTGTATTAATCTTTCGGAGATTAGCAAGTTGCCAATAAACTATAATCCCTTTGTATGTAAATAATCTTCAGAAGTACTAGAAATGTACGAAAATCTCATAATTCCTTAAAAAAAAAAAAACACTTCATACTAGAAATTTTACTTTCTATTTCTATATTTCACAGAGTATCTTAAATTAACGAGTCGTCATTTTAACTTTCAAACACAGATAATTTTGTACACTCTTGGATTTGAAGGCTCAATTTCGACGGTGGGCTGTCAACACTATAACTGATTGGCATGGCTAAAAAATTTCCCGTTTCTGAGACTAAGTATGATTGGTCAATATAATGGTGCATCTATCCCTTTAAACTAACGTCTCTCTCAGAAGTTTCCTACATTTCGGACTGAGATTGCCCTGTAGCAAATAAAAGGCGAAGAAGCGAGGAAAAGGGCGAATTCCTCGCTTTCTCAATTTTTTCCTCACCTTTCTCGCCCTTTTCCTCGCCCTTTTCCTCGCTTTCTCGTGGGCGAGAAGTCGAGTTTCCTCACGTTCTCGTGGGCGAGAAGTCGAGAGTAGATATGGCCGCTGCTGGCTTCCATAAAATTCATATTCTCAAATGATTATTTTTACATTCTGTGGCATTTCATCAACACAAATGAAAATAATCTAAGACCATTGATGGTGCTGTAGAGTTGATATTTAAATTCACATAAAAATAATTGGAAGATTCTGTGACTATTGTTAGCGGAGTTGGAGAAAAGCGAGGCATTGAGAATGATAATAATTATGACGTGTGGTTGTTTAGATAACTATTCCTAGGAAATCATACAACAAAATTAATATATTTTAGATGGACGATAATTAACTGTAGTCTTTAATTTAACCACAGACAGCTAGGTTGTCTCCCTTTAAAAGACTTTTAACAATACATGAACAATTCAAGACTTCTGCTGAAATTGGCGGAATAGCATCAACAGTTGTGAAGATCTGGACCCCCTACTACCCACCTAGTAGGTCTACATACCAAAAACATTATTAGCTATGTGAACTCTCGAAAGGGATGCCAAGTTGTCAAACCTAAATACCAATTAAACATTATTATCTATGTGAACTCTCTGAATGATATGCTGAATTGACAAACCTAAATACCACCCAAAACATTATTATCTATGTGGATTTAAATAACAATCTGTAAAAGCAAGACAATTCCGTTAATCAAGCTCTCGTCCAAAGCATCTAAAATTCAAATCTGTTTGATATTGTAGCACAAGTCCAGTCTATACATGATGTATCCAAAACAACTAGGAATCAACTTTTAAAATTCAAATCTTTATTTTTACAGTTATAGGCATGCGACAATTCACTTCAGACATCACTAACGTGACTTGTATCGTCTGCAGACGACCAGTTTTATTTGTCAATAAACAAATTATCTCGTAGATTATCGTAAAATCACGTTAAACCACGTTCACTTTCTGACTGACGCGGATAGTTGAACTTGAAGCACAGCGCTATGGATGGTTTGATATGCCATCTTAACTCACTGTCTTTAATCAAAATGAAAGTTTTGACTGCCTCTTTTATGTACCTTAAATTGTTGAAAATCAGCTTCGTATGACTTTCCAATAAAAAGAACGGGCCTAGTCATTTTTATGGTTTGTTTTGTAAATCTGAACACACGGATGGAAATCGTGATATTGCATGGGTACGGAAGAACTCTCTCGTGTGAAAAAGTGTCAGTATGAGTGGTTAGAATTAACCGATTCTTTCATCCATAAGGAGAGTGTCGTGGTTTCAAAGAGCCGAAATATAACATCAGAAGAAGGCAAGAAGGTGAAATATAACAAACCCAATGCTTCTGAAGTCTTAAGGCCAAAGAAAAAAAACTCTCATCTCATTTTTTTCGGTGAACATCGAGAGCGACACCAGACTTAGTTATTTTAACAATTTAAACAAGAATTTAGTCTCGTTCTGACTAAGTATCTCTTTCTAACGAACTATTGTTCTTTTTAAAACAAACTCTGAATAAATAATTGTAGAAAATCGCGAGAGGAGGAAAGTTTTAAGTAGAAAATCTGGTTTGTATGAAAAAAAAAAATCAAAAATCCGCCATTTTTTCTCATAAATATCATATCAGATTACACTCTACTTCCGGTTTAAATTTAAAATTAATCCACCAAAATATATTTTTTACCCGCGATCTTTTATGATGTTTCGAAATATTGTCCCATCTCAGGTGTATCTAATGTCTTACGAGTCCTGGGCGATTCCAGAGATAGGTATTCAATAATAAACAGATGGATACAACTATATAAAATCCTTATCAGAACAGTTGGGTGGGAAATATATATTAATTTCCAATCTTAGGAATAAAGATCTATAAGAATAGAAAACAAAACCGTTGAATATGTGCGGGCATTGCAATATTTTGCACTGAAAAATAAATTAAGCCAAATATTCCACTCCAAAAAATGTTACCTAAAATAGCCTTTATCATCCAGTCCCTCTTTTGTCCATGTAAACTAAGATTAAAGATGTCCTCGTGGGTAGACAGGAATAGTCTGGGCGTTAGAGACTAACTAAAAAATCTTCCGAGTGTCTCTTTAACATAAACATATGTAGAAAACGTGAGGAATGTATTACATTATAAGACAATGTGACAAAAAACGAAGAATTATTTCGACACGGCCTGATCATTGTAAAGAAGTGTGGTTGTACCATCTCGAGATACAAACATCAACAAATAAACTTATTTACAACTTAAAATTCAACTTGTACAGTTTACTGGTGATGTTTTGGGTTCTCTGGTTTTTGTAAGAAGTAGACATCTGGATGTAAAGTAGTTAGGGTGGTTGAAAGGTAACAAGTTACTATTTAACAGAGTTAAAACAGTGATCAGTGTTTATATTATACAGATATTAGTAATACTTTTAACGTATAGATGAAGAAGATTATCAGAATATAATATTTTAAAACTAATTCTTTAACTCGTGGAGTATGACAGGAAAGGATTATACCCCTCGAGAATTAGATCTCGATGAAACTAAGCAGCAAATAATCTTTCAGATTTGATCTAGGAGCAAACAGGGAACAGTGGAATAAAATCGGAATCGAAAACTGTGAAAAATGATGTTCTTATTATAAACAGAATTAATCAACTTGGTCACAGTGGTGAAATCAAGTTTTGATTCTGATTAAATAAATTATTATAATGTGGTGAACTTAACCTATAGATAAGTGACCAATTTGAAAATAAAATCAAGTTTCAGTCTTGCTTTGTTTTGAGTGATCTTGAGTAGTTTGGAATCACAATCATTGATAGTGCCAGTAACAGCAAGAAAACAGCAGGAATAAAAACTTCTTCACTAAGCCTCACTGAACAAGTCTTTGTAATCGAGTATCTGTTGTCAATTAGAATCTGAGATTTGGTGTCCGGTGTTTCAAGTTCTCTAATCTATGTTAGAGGTGAGGAAAATAGTTTCAATTTGGATAAAATGGAATTCATGTTACTTATATATCTATCAGGTAAGATTGTTTATTTGTTTATTTGATCGTTTCTATCATTTCATTTCATTTCGTTCCATCGTACGAACCTTGACTAAGATCTAAGATCTACCTCATTAATGGGTCATTCTGTGAAATATAACCATCTAACCCTGAACAAATTCATACAGAAGGTTTCTCAACGGAATCTGGAAGCATTTCGTCTGTTAAATATCATACTAAAAGTCTACCTGAATCGCTAATGTTATTTAACAGACACAATGCTACCAGAAATCTTCTCTGTCAATTTGTCCAGTGTACATTTTGTAATGAGGTTTGTTCTGTTCCCAACCTAGATTTTTTTTTATCCCTGGGGTGTGGGACTAGGGTGTTACGGGTGTGGCCAAATGATGTAGGAGAAGAATTTATTTTGAAATGAGAGAGAACCTCACATCATCACATGCTGGAAATGTGGATGAAACAAATTTTTGGGGTGTGAAAGGTCCAGGTGAATGCTCCAGGGGTGTGAAGGCTGAAAAAGGTTGGAGACCACCGATCTAAGATGAAAGGCTATATAACACTATAATATATAATATATTATACTATACTAGGTCAGAGTTAGTCCTGTAAATAACCTCTTTGTTAGTTTTAAAGTTTAAAATTGTCTCTTATTGTTTGAAATAACAAACATGAAGTGAAATAGTTGTAGGTCTATTAAAGAGGGTTTCATTATTTGTTATGAATTTATTATGGATATGTGAGACAAATTGGTATTTTTCCAAGTCATTAGAACACCTCTATTTTCTATTCATATAAGTATTAGCATTTTCATTTTCAAAAATGAAAATAAGGGAATCCATCTTTAAGTATGTACATTGTTGTTACATTTCTAAAAGCTATTTGGACAGATGTCAGTTGGTCTACTCCAGCTGAGAATTGTGAAAATATCCATCAGAGGCTGGTATAGAGGCAGATGTTTGGGACTAGGTGTTTTGAGATGAAGGCAGTAATTATCGAAACAGAGACACTTATAATGAATGAAGATCCACTAATATAAGTACTGTGGAAGATCATACGAAACGAAGTATGATTTCATATGATGTGGAGGAGGATATCGCTAGTATAGTCTACTCACCCTTCCGAATCACATCATGACAGGTTTTGTCCAGAGGGGAGTCATGGGGATATGAAGAATGATGACTAAAGCTGAGGAAAGACGAGGTACAGTGCGGACACGATTCGTTTCTTCTATTTTCTACTCTATCGATAATTCCGCACCGTACACCGTACCGTCTATTCCCACCCCAGTATCACTAGACTTTCACAAACCGACTGAGATTAGCACCCACGGTCACTATTTGTTTGACGTAACCAAGCAAATGACGTCATTTAAAGATTCCAGAGCTCTGATTGACTGTGTTAACATCAACTCTCAAGACTTTGTTCTTCAATGAACATTGGGATAAGGAACACAGCTTTTCTCACGTGGACATAAAACTTGAATTCGACAAACGGTAATAAAATGATTTATAATTGCTTAAGCGATGAAAGCGGTAAATTGTTCAATGCACATGTAAGCGTCAGAATATTACCCAATAACTCTACAGATGTGGACTATATTTAGGTCGCAATATTACTATCACTAAACAAATCACTCCTTAATACCGGAAGTAAAGAGTCCTTCCACCCCACCCCACCCAAGAAGACACAAAAAAATCACAATTCATTACCGAGACAGATTCGGCTTTACGGAAACTGTCGAGAATTACCGAACCTAAAATATATTCTATACAAGTCACCACGAGACTAATCTGTAGTAAAACAAGCTAATATCAGTATTATTTTTTTTAGAATATAAGCCCCAGATTTATCATTAAACATAGTTTAAGTCCAACTTAACACATAAATACATGTTTTGGTAAATTTTAAACCCAAGTCCAATGTTTATTTCTAGGCTAAGCCAACAAAGTAAATTCTTAAATTTTATTTTAACTGAAAGAAGTTTGTAAGCTCGAGTTTTAATCTGTTTAAGGAACTAGAAGATGAATTTTGGTCAACTTCAAAGTCGAATAAATGTAGAAACAAACAGTTAAAGTTTAAGTTGAATTAGATTTTTAAAATCAGCGACCAAAAGCAACACTATAATTCATCGTCCTTTCAACTAGTCTGAAACTATTACAGATTTTTAACCTGTTTCACTTTAGTAGATAAACGCCACTCGTATGAAAAAGGTCTTTTTGGTTTGTTTAGATTCACCGACTAATGCGAAGCTGTTGAGAATCTAATACGTTTCTAGCTAGAAACCCTCGATCACCTTATGAAATCAAAATACGAAATAAATGATTTTAACCCAAAATTGACTGAAAGATCCGTGACATTGAACTTATGAGCTAATAAGATCGCCTCAGTAGCGTTTCAGTTATAATGGCCCCCACCTTCAAATTTTTTATTATCATAAAGAATGAATTGCCTATCATCTGTCATCCCCCAATAATTCATAGACACGCCATTGATTGGGCTATTCGATTAGTCTAGGGGGTAGCTTCTGAAAGTATTGAAGACCCTTGATACCCAATACATAATTTGAACCAGGAATTGAGAGACAGGTTAATGTCAGTAATTCGTACTAGTTACTTCTAAACATTAAATAAATACATAGTATTTATATTTAGACCATCTGACTTAATCTAGTGTGTTCACAAGGTTTTAAATTAGATTAACAGTCAAGTTAGAAACTAAACCCTACATTCTATAGACAACAAAGATGGACCGACGAGATATCGAACAGCAAGTATTTTTTAAATAAAAAGGCCTGTACCAACTTCAACTATGAGGCTCTTTACAGATTTCTAATTAGCTGGGTTTTCTTTCTTTTAAAAACGAAGAGAAACCCAAAATATACCTGGAACAATCCGGCCATTCATTCATTCATTCATTCATTCATTCATTCATTCATTCATTCATTCATTCATTCATTCATTCATTCATTCATTCATTCATTCATTCATTCATTCATTCATTTATTTCAGTAACGATCTACCTGTCGGGGGTATCTGGAGATATCCATTGTAATTTTGAGTTTGGTAAACTGTGTGAAGGCTGGTCTCAAGGAGTTGATGGAGCCGAGGACGATTTTGATTGGTTAATATGGAACGGTCATGACCCTTCCCAAGATTCCTCTTCAGTTCCGGGTTACACCATGGATTGTGAGTAAATGTTCTAGTTATTAATTAGTCCCTTCGGATTTGTTGGGTGGGGTTGGTGGCTCAACTACCATAGGGACTGGTTGGACCAAGTCCGCGGGCCCCCACCCTAGGGAGCCCCACACCAGAAATAGTATTAACTAGAGACCGAAAATCTTTAAATTAACAGGCATTGATGATTGAATTGACTTATGATTGAAGAGTCTCAAAATGCAGGAGCACATGCCACATATGTTAAAAAGAATTCCCTAGGGAGAGGTCCCAGCCCACGTATGTCCATCTAGTTAACTGGGTGAGGTCGAGTGGGTGTCGTTCTTTACAAACTTCAAACATTCTGACGGCAATAGAATTTTAACAAAATAAAGCGAAGTAGACTTGGCCCAATTATTCTTTTTCCGGGTTCCATCCTACCATTGTCTTCAGAAGAAAAGACTGTATCTGTTATAATAGCGATGTAGAGCGTTCGCACTCGCATATCCCTGATGTCAAACCGTGCTAGAATTAGTAGGTGTGAACGCTTCTTTCACAATTTCATGGTTTGTACTTTAAGATTTTGTATTGTTGATGATGAATGGAAAAGACAAACGAAGGTTGACATTTTTGGTCGATGACTGAAGGCGAGTTTTCATTTAGTCAGATTGTGAATGAGATAAGGCTACTTTCTCAGGGCGTTCACATGATTGTAATGCAAGACTCGGCATGTCCCGATGTGTTAACTGTAGGCCTATAACAATTAGAACGCAACAGGGCGTAACGTATCTGTTAGTTTCTAAGTGAAGATGATTCCCCCACACGTTGTTGATTAAAATCCACTGCATCTGTTTTGGGTTTTTTCCCTCCAAATAGACAAATATGTGATTGGATACAATGGAAAAAGTTTTCTATCATCATCATGTCAAAATATCATCGGGCAACCTGAAAATAGGTCAATCTCTGTTCTTTTCAGATACCCTGTCCAAAAATAAACAAGAGCGAGCCATGTTTGGAACACCAGTATTACAGCCAGTAGGTGGCGTGGTGAATGCAAGTTTCTGGTTCCGGTTAAATGGTAACGATGTCCGCCATCTTAATGTTTACGTCAGAGATCTGTCATTAGGGTCGGCTGCTAAAAAAATCTGGTCGGCAGACGGCTCTCAAGGCGAGGCTTGGCATTATGTAGATTTAGTTTTTGATGTCATGGGACCTTTCAGAGTGAGTGGGTATTTTTGATAAATCTAAATTTGAGTGGTCATTTCATCACCATTGTATTGTATGCTTCGTCGACGCTCTTCGAAACCAAATTGCACCCTCCATTTCATTTCTATAAAATTCTAGATATGGTTGTTATACTATCTTATCCCAAATATATTTAAGAATCCAAAACCTCCTTAGAATCAAAATTCCGATAGTTGTTCCTACATTAAGTCAGTCTACCCCCTATTTTTACCCCAGGCACTTTACTGGTATTCCTCGTGCATGTATTTGACAATTATCCCAAGTATATCCTGAACGCTGGTCGGCGGAAAGTGTTGAGGTCTTGTAAAAGTTTTGTTATTTTTGTTGTAGGTATTATTTGAGGCGACTATCTCGGGGTATGAATCTGATATTGGAGTAGATGATATTTACATTCAAAATGCAGGTAGGGGCAATGTCTTGTTAAATATATCCTGGTAAAGTTATGTCTTTTATATTGCCAAACAAAATGTACCTGAATTTACATTATAATAGGGGGCATAACTCTGTCCTTTGTATTTGTTTTGCCTTCTCTTGAAGATCGATATTATACTGAATGAATAACATCATATACTGGTGGTTCAAATTTAACTATATCAGCTGATCAAGCGAATATATGTAGGTATTCTTCGAGCGTCATCATCGATTTAATTTTGAAACTGATTGATTTATTTCAGATCGATTGCCGGATATCGATAATTTGTGGGGAAATAAAATCAATCCAGATTTACATGCGTCGATAGGTAAGTACGAGCTTGTATAGGATAAAATATCGTGTGATAAAGAGTTTTATCAAACAACTGTACTGTTTGATGCTATCAGTGTCCCTTTTACTGGTATGATTGAGAAAATCAAGAAATAAATTAGAATATTGCAAACCTCATTACAATTTTTGCGATTAAAAATAAGAAAGGTGCGAATTGATGCTATCAGTGTCCCTCATACTGCTATGATTGAGATAGCGACGTCATAAAACGTTTTAGTGAAAATCCAAGATCCAAAGACACAAATTAGAACAGAGCAAACATTTTTATACTTTTTTTAAGATTCTAAAACCAATAGCTATAATATTTCTTCAAATCTTCATTTCAGATATACCAACCCAGGCTCCTGTGATCCCGGTGAATGCTGGGACACTCGGTGGCGGAAGTAGTGACCATTCCTCGTGGATAGCAGAATATTTACCCATAATCCTCGCCGTTATAGGTGGCTCCATCTTTTGGATTGGAATTATCGTCATTATAAAATGTTACGTCAGAAAACGCAGACGGCGAAAAACGCGGGAAAGAAATTTGAATGTGTACAGACGTGAGGATACGACGTATTCCGTTAGTAGCCAATCAGATGACGAGATTTACACACTTCCGGTTCCGCCGGATATACCTGCCCACGAAACTATTACAATTTCCCGAGAAAACCAATTTTATGACACTAGGAATTTAAGATTTCCAAAATATGGCTTTAGTGATTATTCTTCAGCAATGGAATCAGATTTTAGGTGATTAAAAATATCAAAAGACAATCATACTCGATGTTTTAATCAGTTGTTCAACTAGATGACTGAGGGCCCGGGATTTAAGTGGGCTGGGGCCCCTCCCCTCCCCTCGGGAATTTGTTAAACATATGTTCTCCCGCATTTTTTCTGGAGTGGGGCCCCCTAGGGGTGGGGCTCGTGGACTTGGTTTAACCAGCCACCGTGTTAGTTGAACCACTGGTTTTAATAATGTAGTCTTCTGGTACCCAGAGTGGGTGTACTCGAGGGGGTTACACAACTTAAAGTGAACACCAATAGTCGATCTTATGCTCTTCTAAGAAAGGCCAATCAAACATGCATCGTCATATACCTTGCACCTGTATAGTGCCATTACTTTAGTGCCAGCAACAGGGCGTCAACGACTTCGGTCAAAATGTGTCAGGGAGAGATAACCCCATCACCTCCCTCTCTGAGCTCTTGACCTGGCTGAAACAAAAATACCCATGTGGGGTACCTAGAAATAACAAAGTTTTTCATGTGACTTGTAGAGTAGTTTCAAAATAACAAGTTTTTTCATGTGACTTGTAGGGTAGTTTCAAAATAACAAGGTTTTTCATGTGACTTGTAGAGTAGTTTCAAAATAACAAGGTTTTTCATGTGACTTGTAGAGTAGTTTCAAAATAACAAGTTTTTTCATGTGACTTGTAGAGTAGTTTCAAAATAACAAGGTTTTTCATGTGACTTGTAGAGTAGTTTCAAAATAACAAGGTTTTTCATGTGACTTGTAGAGTAGTTTCAAAATAACAAGGTTTTTCATGTGACTTGTAGAGTAGTTTCAAAATAACAAGGTTGTTCATGTGACTTGTAAAGTAGTTTCAAAATAACAAAGTTTTTCATGTGACTTGTAGAGTAGTTTCAAAATAACAAGGTTTTTCATGCGACTTGTAGAGTAGTTTCAAAATAACAAGGTTTTTCATGTAACTTGTAGAGTAGTTTCAAAATAACAAGGTTTTTCATGTAACTTGTAAAGTAGTTTCAAAATAACAAAGTTTTTCATGTGACTTGTAGGGTAGTTCCAAAATAACAAGGTTTTTCATGTGACTTGTAGAGTAGTTTCAAAATAACAAGGTTTTTCATTTGACTTGTAGAGTAGTTTCAAAATAACAAGGTTTTTCATGTGACTTGTAGAGTAGTTTCAAAATAACAAAGTTTTTCATGTGACTTGTAGAGTAGTTTCAAAATAACAAAAGTTTTTCAAGTGACTTGTAGGGTAGTTTCAAAATAATAAAGTTTTTCATATGACTTGTAAAGTAGTTTCAAAATAACAAGGTTTTTCATGTGACTTGTAGAGTAGTTTCAAAATAACAAAGTTTTTCATGTGACTTGTAGAGTAGTTTCAAAATAACAAGGTTTTTTCATGTGACTTGTAGTGTAGTTTCAAAATAACAAGGTTTTTTCATGTGACTTGTAGGGTAGTTTCAAAATAACAAGGTTTTTCATGTGACTTGTAGGGTAGTTTCAAAACAACAAGGTTTTTCATGTGACTTGTAGGGTAGTTTCAAAATAACAAAGTTTTTCATGTGACTTGTAGAGTAGTTTCAAAATAACAAGGTTTTTCATTTGACTTGTAGAGTAGTTTCAAAATAACAAGGTTTTTCATATGACTTGTAGGGTAGTTTCAAAATAACAAGGTTTTTCATGTGACTTGTAGAGTAGTTTCAAAATAACAAGGTTTTTCATGTGACTTGTAGGGTAGTTTCAAAATAACAAGGTTTTTCATGTGACTTGTAGAGTAGTTTCAAAATAACAAGGTTTTTCATGTGACTTGTAGAGTAGTTTCAAAATAACAAGGTTTTTCATGTGACTTGTAGAGTAGTTTCAAAATAACAAGGTTTTTCATGTGACTTGTAGAGTAGTTTCAAAATAACAAAGTTTTTCATGTGACTTGTAGAGTAGTTTCAAAACAACAAGGTTTTTCATGTGACTTTTAGAGTAGTTTCAAAATAACAAAGTTTTTCATGTGACTTGTAGGGTAGTTTCAAAATAACAAGGTTTTTCATGTGACTTGTAGGGTAGTTTCAAAATAACAAGGTTTTTCATGTAACTTGTGGAGTAGTTTCACAATAACAAGTGACAGTGATTCTCCTTTCTCCCGTTGAATACAAATCCAACTGAAACTGACAACAATGTTGGTTTTCTCTTAAGGTCAAATAATCCTGGCGCCCCCTAGAAAATGGTTTGTATCCCTCCACTTCATATCTAACAATTCAGAAATGCGATTTTATTTTTTTAAAGTTTTGTCCCACAAAATGACAGGGCACCGAACAAATTCTATTTTTCATGAATTTTTTTGTGGATAAAACTTTCAGATGCTCAGTTTTAGGTTCTTGTCTTTGCACTTCCACAGAGCTGCCGCTTTTAGAATCTTATCCTCGACGGTTGCCGATTAAGTCAGTCTGCCTCCTATTTGTACCCCCGGTCGTGGGAGGCTGGTGACAACTCTTACGACGGTTCGTTATTTTGATATTTTTTGATAAATTGTTTTATATTTTGTACATTGAGTTATTATCATATTTATATAAAAAATAAAATAATAATAGTCAATTTATTTTTGTTTTTTCAACTAACATCTGTTCAAGGGTAATAAATTTTGGCCCGAGCCCTTTTTTGGAAGTACGGATGGGTATCGGCACATAAATTTGTGATTTTACCAAAGATTAAAGAGTCGAATTGGAAAGTAACACGTTCACCCAGGCGGAATATGCTAACTCTAGACACCCGATACCATTTTCACTTACTCTTCAAGGTTTAATTCGATGTTCTTAATAGCTTGACATTGCGAAGATAGGGAATACTGTAGCTTACGAAACGAACCAGAATATAGCCACAATTACAGTCAGTTTTATTTTTAGAATATTCCATAATGTAACTTTTTCTATTGGCTTCTCTTCGGATTGGATATGTTGATTTTCAGTTTGCAGTCTCTCGTCTTCTTTTACCTTGACATCATTAATTGTAGTTATCTCCCTTGAACCGATAACGTTTTGGAATTTTTTCATGATCTCTTCTTCATCTGCATTAATCAGTGTAATTACATTTTACAGTTTGGTCAAAGCTTGTTTCTTATCTTTTGTTAGCGATCAACCATCAGAAAGATTCGTCCATAAATCTGTAAAAGTAATAACTAACATCTCGATTTCCAACTGCCGAGGGATCTTTTACGTGCACAGCCTGCTGCACACATTGCCTCGGTTTATTGTCCCATCCGACGAATGGACGCTTTTTCCATGCCAGCCCCTCTTACCTGCCCAAGCTATTTGGACAAATTGAACAATGGATTGTGTTATCAACGACGATGATCAGAATATCTAACTTTTTTTTTAAATTTGAGTATCTGGAGCAAAGTCATTTACAACTGGGTCGACTGAAATTATGATTGAAGATGATTTATACAAGGTTCTTACGGATCTTATCTATTACACAGTGTCATGGTATTGGATACTGAAAGTTTCTATTCACATCCTTGAACGTGGGAATGCCCTTATTGACCTTGAATGTGGGTATTCCCTAAGTGACCTTGAATGTGTGTATTCTCTAAGAGACTTTGCGAGAATGCCGTGGACATGAATTTGGGTTATACTTAAGTGACCTTGAATTCGGGACGTCCCAAGTGATCTTTACTGCGGATTATTCGAAGTGATCTTTAATGTGGGTTTTCCTAAGTGACCTTGAATGTGGGTTTTCCTAAGTGACCTTGAATGTGAGTTATCCCAAGTGACCTTGAATGTGGGTTACCTAAGTGACCTTGACTGTGGGTTATCTAAGTGACCTTGAACGTGGGTTATCTTAGAGACCTTGAACTGGGGTTATCCTTAGTGACCTTGAATGTGGGTTATCCTAAGTGACCTTGAATATAGGTTATCTAAGAGACCTTGACTGTGAGTTTTCCTAAGTGACCTTGAATGTGAGTTATCCTAAGTGACCTTGACTGTGGGCTATCCCTAGTGTCCATGAATGTGGGTTATCTAAGTGACCTTGACTGTGGGCTATACCAAGTGACCTTGAATGTGGGTTACCTAAGTGACCTTGACTGTGGGTTATCTAAGAGACCTTGACTGTGGGCTATCTAAGTGACCTTGAATGTGGGTTATCTAAGTAACATTGACTGTGGGCTATCTGAGTGACCTTGACTGTGGGTTATCCAAGTGACCTTGATTGTGGGCTATCTAAGTGACCTTGAATGTGGGTTATCCTTAGTGACCTTGACTGTGGGTTATACCTTGAATGTGGGTTATCTAAGTGACCTTGACTGTGGGCTATCTGAGTGATCTTGACTGTGGGTTATCTAAGTGACCTTGATTGTGGGCTATCTAAGTGACCTTGAATGTGGGTTTTCCTTAGTGACCTTGACTGTGGGTTATACCTTGAATGTGGGTTATCTAAGTGACCTTGACTGTAGGTTATCCTTAGTGACCTTGACTGTGGTTTATCCTAAGTGACCTTGACTGTGGGCTATCCCAAGTGACCTTGCATGTGGGTAATCTCGTATAATGTTTGAAGTCTAATTAATAAAAACAATTATTAGTGCGAAAGCGACAGAATTTAATGATTAAAATAGATTAAAGTAAGAATTAGGAAAAATGTACCATTGTTTGGTCAACTTGACAAGTGAAAATCCCCCGATATCGTGTTTTTTACTCTAGAGCCAAATCTCAGTCACTACCCTAGAGTCATACCTCAGTCACTACCCTAGAGTCAGCACCTAGTCACTACCCTAGAGTCAGCCCTCAGTCACTAGAGTCAGCCCTCAGTCACTAGAGTCAGCCCTCAGTCATTACCCTAGAGTCATAGCTCAGTCATTACCCTAGAGTCATAGCTCAGTCATTACCCTAGAGTCATACCTCAGTCATTACCCTAGAGTCATACCTCAGTCATTACCCTAGAGTCATACCTCAGTCACTACCCTAGAGTCAGCCCTCAGTCACTACCCTAGAGTCATACCTCAGTCATTACCCTAAAGTCATACCTCAGACATTACCCTAGAGTCATACCTCAGTCATTACCCTAGAGTCATACCTCAGTCATTACCCTAGAGTCATACCTCAGTCATTACCCTAGAGTCATACCTCAGTTACTACCCTAGAGTCAGCCCTCAGTCACTACCCTAGTATCAGTCCCTAGTAACTACCCTAGAGTCAGTCCCTAGTAACTACCCTAGAGTCAGTCCCTGAGTAACTACCCTAGAGTCAGTCCCTAGTCACTACCCTAGAGTCAGTCCCTAGTAACTACCCTAGAGTCCAGTCCCTAGTCACTACCCTAGAGTCAGTCCCTAGTAACTACCCTAGAGTCAGTCCCTAGTAACTACCCTAGAGTCAGTCCCTGGTAACTACCCTAGAGTCAGTCCCTAGTAACTACCCTAGAGTCAGTCCCTAGTAACTACCCTAGAGTCAGTCCCTAGTCACTACCCTAGAGTCAATCCTTAGTCACTACCCTAGAGTCAGTCCCTAGTAACTACCCTAGAGTCAGTCCCTAGTAACTACCCTAGAGTCAGTCCCTAGTAACTACCCTAGAGTCAGTCCTTATTCAGAGTGAATCAGCGTGAGTATCGGGGAATTGCCGCTCGTCAGTAAAATTACATTTTAAACGCATGATGATGAATAAACGTGATAGAAGGTGTTGGGCTTTCTGGTGTACAGAGTACAATGGTTTCCATCTGAGTTCATGTGTTTACATGTATCATCGTCGTAGCAAGCCTTCTCGCACTCTTTATAAGTGCCAATCAAATCATCGATTAAGAATGATCGGTAACAGAAACCTTCGTAAAACGATGCACTAATACAATCATCTTCTTGGTCGCATACTTCATTACAAGTTTCTTCGGTTCCTTCATACTTCAAGTCGTTTATATCATACGTCGGTATGGAATAGAAGGTAAATAACCAACAAGCTACAAAAATAAATAAACATATATGACAAATAAAATATTTTCACTGTTATAATAGTACTCAATATATCAAATGCAGAGATATGTAGAAATACCACTGTTATAATAGTGCTCAATACATCAATTGTAGAGTGATATAGAAATACCACTGTTTAATTAGTGCTCAGTACATCAATTGTAGAGCAATATAGAAATACCACTGTTATAATAGTACTCAATATGTCAATTGCAGAGATATGTAGAAATACCACTGATATAATAGTGCTCAATACATCATTGTAGAGTGATATAGAAAAACCACTGTTAAATTAGTGCTCAATACATCAATTGTAGAGTGATATAGAAATACCACTGTTATAATAGTGCTCAATACATCAATTGTAGAGTGATATAGAAAAACCACTGTTAAATTAGTGCTCAATACATCAATTGTAGAGTGATATAGAAATACCACTGTTCAATTAGTGCTCAGTACATCAATTGTAGAGCAATATAGAAATACCACTGTTAAAATAGTGCTCAATACATCAATTGTAGAGCAATATAGAAATACCACTGTTAAAATAGTGCTTAATACATCAATATCGTAGATGTCGCTATCGCAAATACCATTTAAGCTGAAAGGTAGAGTCAGGATCTCATGCTGTTCTGGATGTCGAATAGAAAATCAACATGGTGAAACTTATACACATAGAAAGGCAAGAAAAACTTTCTTGAATTTTTGTAAAAATAGAATGGATTTGTTACATTCTGACACGTATTTTGAGACAAAACCATTAAAAAACCATAAAAAACGTGGCTTGTACCAGCTCGAAACGGAAATCAGACAGGATTTCTACCACAGCTCAAACTAGATTGATAATTTTGAAGACAGACCTTTTTGTTTTTGTGTTAATCTGTCTCAGAAACATGAATTATTTAGCTAAGCTAATCAGTAATAGTGTTCACGGCTTACTGTCGAAATTTTAGCCTTCTTAACCATGTGTATCTCTAATTACTCCACCTTGAATATTACATTGTCGGGTTTTCAATAATCAAATCCTCAATTTTAAGGACTGGACAACTACACAGTGGCCTCAATAACCCAGTCCCCCTGCTGACGTTTGTAAAGAACAACGGCCACTCTTAACGCTTAACTAGATGAGTAGACTTTATTGGTCTGGAACCTTTACCCTGGTAGTTTTTTTTAACACGTGCCCTCCTGCATACCCCCGTGGGGTATGGATTTCACTGTACTTTATTTGAGAAATTATTTTACCTTGACAATGAATAGATGGTAGCCAAATTTGACCCGACGTACATGTTAGTTCTCCATATTTACCATTCAGTGTGTAATTAAAGTCACATTGGAACATCAGTTTATCATCTTCGACATACGTATCTTTAGTTTCCCCAACTATTTGTCCATTTGGAATGGTTGGAGGCTCTGGACAATACGCTGTATATTTGAAATGAAAGAAAAACAGTTTTAGCTAACTTAGTTATGAGCACATGTATGGAAGACCGTAACTTAGGTCTTTTTTCTATAAAATCCTGTTGCTTTTTTAAGTCAGTTTTGTCTTGTAATCATAACGCTTTCAGTGGAATTCAAACATTTACCACATTTACTGTAGACATATAATAATTCTATATATTTAGTGAATATCATAATTACATTTTTAATTTTTAAACAATATAGTTACGGCACTGTTATGAGCACATTTAGCATAGGAAACAATCAAATTGAGTTCTATCAAATAGTATAGTAAATATCTAAATGACTATACATAAAGCTGAAATTGAGTTCTATCAAATAGTATAGTAAATATTTAAATGACTATACATAAAGCTGAAATTGAGTTCTATCAAATAGTATAGTAAATATCTAAATGACTATACATAAAGCTGAAATTGAGTTCTATCAAATAGTATAGTAAATATTTAAATGACTATACATAAAGCTGAAATTGAGTTCTATCAAATAGTATAGTAAATATCTAAATGACTATACATAAAGCTGAAATTGAGTTCTATCAAATAGTATAGTAAATATTTAAATGACTATACAGAAAGCTGAAATTGAGTTCTATCAAATAGTATAGTAAATATCTAAGATGACTATACAGATAGTTGAAATTGAGTTCTATCAGCTGGTGAAGTAAATATTAAGATGACTATACAGATAGTTGAAATTGAGCTCTATCAGCTGGTGAAGTAAATATCTAAATGACTATACAGATAGCTGAAATTAAGCTCTATCAGCTGGTATAGTAAATATTTAGATGACTATACAGATAGTTGAAATTGAGCTCTATCAGCTGGTATAGTAAATATCAAGATGACTATACAGATAGTTGAAATTGAGCTCTATCAGCTGGTGAAGTAAATATCTAAATGACTATACAGATAGCTGAAATTAAGCTCTATCAGCTGGTATAGTAAATATTTAGATGACTATACAGATAGTTGAAATTGAGCTCTATCAGCTGGTATAGTAAATATTGAGATGCCTATACAGATAGCTGAAATTGAGCTCTATCAGCTGGTATAGTAAATATTGAGATGACTATACAGATAGCTGAAATTAAGCTCTATCAGCTGGTATAGTAAATATTTAGATGACTATACAGATAGTTGAAATTGAGCTCTATCAGCTGGTATAGTAAATATTTACATGACTATACAGATAGTTGAAATTGAGCTCTATCAGCTGGTATAGTAAATATCTAAATGACTATACAGATAGCTGAAATTAAGCTCTATCAGCTGGTATAGTAAATATTTAGATGACTATACAGATAGTTGAAATTGAGTTCTATCAATTGGTATAGTAAATATTTAGATGACTATACAGATAGTTGAAATTGAGCTCTATCAGCTGGTATAGTAAATATCTAAATGACTATACAGATAGCTGAAATTAAGCTCTATCAGCTGGTATAGTAAATATTTAGATGACTATACAGATAGTTGAAATTGAGTTCTATCAGCGGGTAAAGTAAATATTTAGATGGCTATACATATAGCTGAAATTGAGTTCTATCAGCTGGTATAGTAAATATTTAGATGACTATACAGATAGCTGAAATTGAGTTCTATCAGCTGGTATAGTAAATATTTAGATGACTATACAGATAGCTGAAATTGAGCTCTATCAGCAAAGTGTTAAATGTTATCGGTATTACAACAAAATTGATTGTGAAACGAAACTTTGAGCAATGAATAGCGAGAGAAAAATAAAATATTGTACTCACAATCTACAGTGACTGAGCAGTCCACTGCCGATAAAATAGCAAACATCAAACATAGACTTTTAACAACCGACATATTGCTGACAGCTAATTATACTTATAGCAATAACAAGAGTTAGAGTTGTATGAAGTAATACTGAAGAGATCTGTTATTTTATACAGTTTAAACACAGCTTACTAATTGACTAATTTACATACATTCTGAAAAAAAATTCAATTGATATCACTGATAGATTTCTTTTGCGATTTTTTGCTGAACTCCTAAAGAACAGCCGGTGATGTACAGTTAGGTGATGTCTGGTGTTTCTATAAACAGACAATAGTACAACAATGGACCACTCTCTAGAATATAACACAGAGTTAGGTGATGTCTGGTGGTTTTATATAAAGAGACAATAGTACAACAATGGACCACCCACTAGAATATAACACAGAGTTAGGTGATGTCTGGTGGTTTTATAAAGAGACAACAGTACAACAATGGACCACCCACTAGAATATAACACAGAGTTAGGTGATGTCTGGTGGTTTTATAAAGAGACAACAGTACAACAATGGACCACCCACTAGAATATAACACAGAGTTAGGTGATGTCTGATGTTTCTATAAACAGACAATAGTACAACAGTGGACCACCATCTAGAATATAACACAGAGTTAGGTGATGTCTGGTGCTTTTATATAAAGAGACAATAGTACAACAATGGACCACCCACTAGAATATAACACGGAGTTAGGTGATGTCTGGTGGTTTTATAAAGAGACAATATTACAACAATGGACCACCCACTAGAATATAACACAAAGTTAGGTGATGTCTGGTGGTTTTATAAAGAGACAACAGTACAACAATGGACCACCCACTAGAATATAACACAGAGTTAGGTGATGTCTGGTGGTTTTATAAAGAGACAACAGTACAACAATGGACCACCCACTAGAATATAACCCAGAGTTAGGTGATGTCTGATGTTTTATAAACAGACAATAGTACAAGAGTGGACCACCATCTAGAATATAACACAGAGTTAGGTGATGTCTGGTGGTTTTATATAAAGAGACAATAGTACAAGAGTGGACCACCCATCTAGAATATAACACAGAGTTAGGTGATGTCTGGTGGTTTTATAAAGAGACAATAGTACAACAATGGACCACCCACTAGAATATAACACAGAGTTAGGTGTTGTGTTGTTATATAGTACCACGTTGAATCCCGCCTAGAATATAACACAGCGCTAGGCGGTGTCTAGTGTTTCTATATAGAACAAAAGTGGACCACCCTCTAGAATATAATCCAGAATTAGATGGTATCTGGTGTTTCTATATAGTACAAAAGTGGACCACCCCCTAGAATATCACAGAGTGATGTTTGGCGTGTTTTAAAACAGATTTTTGTACAACAATGAATCACTCTGTGAAAGAAGAAATATGATTTTTTTAGTAGGTCGGAAAATTTGGGTCATGATGAATATTTACAAGTTAATTAGAATCAAAACTCATTAAATTGTTATGGTCTTTGAGTGTATATTAGAAATATTCGATTTGAAAACAAAAAATATATCCTCCAATTGAAATTTTTTTCGCCATTAAATTCCACAATTCTATGCTTATGGACGGAAGAAATTTAATCCAGTAAAAACAATTATTTGCTAGTTAATTGTACTGAAAGTAAGCTATACGCGTCACTTCCCGGTTTTACTACGCGGATAAGCTGATTGGCTATATCGGAAATAACGATAACAATGTTGCATTTTGTACAAAAATGATAGTACATTTAGTTTAGTGCAACAATGATAACAATGTTGTATTTTGTACAACAACGATAAGAATGTGATAGCACAACAAAGTTATTTTTAGTACTACAATGATAACAATGTTATATTGAGTACAACAATGTTATTTTTAGTACTACAATGATAACAATGTTATATTTAGTACAACAATGATAACAATGTTATATTTAGTACAACAATGATAACAATGTTATATTTAGTACAACAATGATAACAATGTCATATTTAGTACAACAATGATAACAATGTCATATTTAATACAACAATGATAACAATGTCATATTTAGTACAACAATGATAACAATGTTATATTTAGTACAACAATGATAACAATGTTATATTTAGTACAACGATGATAACAATGTTATATTTAGTACAACGATGATAACAATGTTATATTTAGTACAACAATGATAACAATGTTATATTTAGTAAATGATGACAATGTTATATTTAGTACAACAATGATAACAATGTCATATTTAGTACAACAACAATAACAATGTCATATTTAGTACAACAACAATAACAATGTCATATTTAGTACAACAATAACAATGTCATATTTAGTACAACAATGATAACAATGTCCCATCCCCCAAAAATTTATTTCATCCACATTTTTAGCATGTGTTTATGTGAGGTGCTCTCACAATTCAAAATAAATTCATCTCCTACACCACATGGCCACACCCTTGACACCCTAGTCCCACACTCCCAGGAGGTGAAAACACCCTACGTTGGGAACCAGGGATTTACACCAAAGAGAACATATAACACAAGACAATAAGTAATTATGGGATAAAACACAATTCTTTAATACATGGGTACATAACATTTCAACACAATTTACACGTCATCAGATGAAATGGTGAAAGAATAAAATATAACAAGATATTGACCAACTAGGGATTAGGTTGTTACACATTTTGACATGTTAATAAACTTGTAACTTTTGTTGAAACGTTATGTACCCATGTATTAAAGAAGTGTGTTTATCCCATAATTACTGTCTTGTGTTTTACATGTGCTGCTCGCTTCTAAATATCGTTCAAATCTTATACATCAAAGAGATCTTCTGATATACGAAACACGTAAATAAATAAATAACTATGTATTGGTGATTGCAGATACATGAAAATGAATTCAAATAAAATGTAGTTTTACATCCTGTTGAAATTACGTAACAATTTTGTATCTTTTTCATTTCCTGATATTCTAGTTTCCGTGATTACAATTTAAACTAAAAATATCAGAAAACGAAAAAGATACAAAATTGTGGAGTGAAAAGATTGGTAGAGCGAATGGAGTAGAGTGGCGAAGTTGCGGAACGCCAGACCCAGTGATGGAGCGACAGAGCGACAGGAGTGGAGGAGTGAAGTGGAGAAGGTAGTAGCAGAGCGGCAGAGCGGGTAAACCGACTCTGTAGATAAAGAAATATGTATTGTATTATAAGACATAATGTATTAATAATGGAATATTTATAACTGTATGTATTTATAATATCTTTGTTAGGGTTTGAGTTAATCCCTTCAGAATATCACAGGGCCCGACTTATTGTTACACATATTGATTTAGGGTGGTCGGATCTGCCCTATTTACCATGTAGACATTAAATTTGCTGGTACACATTTCCATTTGGGAGCTTAGTTTGCCCTTTTTACCAGGTAGGTATCGATACTTCCCTGTAACGCTGGGTAGGAACACTGTCATTTTTGTATCAGTGGAATAATCCAGTCGGTAACGAGTTGGATTGTCGTCTGTTAGACACTAAGGCGCCATAGGCTTGAATCCTCCCCAAGGCAATAAAAATTCTAATGCTAGTGCGTCCGACAGTAGGTCAGGTACCGGTTTTCACTTAAGCCACTAAACGGTATTCACAGGGGCTGTCCTGGATATTCTCTCTCAGACCAAGTCAAGAGACCCTGATTAAGAGATTAACCACTGTTTAAGATAACAATCAGAGCGACCAGTAAGACGTTTTACACCCTGACAAACTCGACTATTTAACACAGACAAATCAGTTATTGTATAGACGACACCCCTATTGTATTGTATACAGGGTAAACCATTTGCTTAGTTACTGTCAAACATTGATAATACCTGGTTTACGTCTCGAGTGACTGACTGTCTGACTGGGGAGAAAGATTTACAACCAGACAAATTCTAGGATTTTACTCGGATATTTTAAAACAGTAGTAATTTGGTGAGTATTGTTTGAAATTCTAAATACTTTTTATTATTTTTAAGTACAGTTCGGATATTTTCTTAATTTGATAAGTCTCCGGTTTAAGTTAGTCCATTATTATCGTACAGTTGATTTACTGCGATATTTTGTGGATTTTTTCATCCTTCGGGTTTTCTATTATATCTAAGAGTGATTACACCCATCCTTGGCATACCGTTGTGTTTGTTACATCCGCTAGCTTGGCTTACTTTTTTATATATGGAGTTTTTCACATTTCAAGTTGGCTTTCATTGATATTTTGTTAGTTTTTTGTTGTACATTTTGACACCCTCTAGCTTGGCTAACTGTTTATTCAGAGTGTTTTGAAGGTTTATATATTTTTTAGAACCCTCTGAGTTGACTAATTGATATATTTAATGAACTTTCCACCCTCTAAGTTGGCTAACTGCCATGTTTTTTTTTGTTTTTGTACACTCTCTTAATTATTGAATAAATGAAGTTTATAAAAAAAAGGAAGGAATATTCACTCTTAACGACATTAATAGTAAAATACAATACTGACTTCTTAAAACTGCACATTTTGTTGTACACCGGGAAAAAAGGGTTAAGTTAGAATTGTCAGTCATTACCCGAAAAATAGTTTAGTTGTATGGCCTATATTCTATCTGGGGCTATAATAGGCAGGGGGAGGGCATGACAGAGAGAGAGGAGAGGGGGGGGCAGGACAGAGAGAGGGCAGGGTAGAGAGAGAGGGAGAGAGCGTAGGAAAGAGAGAGGACAGGGCAGAGAGAGAGAGGGGAGTGTTCAGGACAGAGAGAGGGCAGGGCAGAGAGAGGGCAGGGCAGAGATGACAGGGCAGAGAGAGAGGGCAGGGCAGAGAGAGTGCAGGGCGGAGAGAGAGGGGGCAGGGCAGAGAGAGGGCAGGGCGGAGAGGACAGGGCAGAGAGAGAGGGCAGGGCAGGGCAGGGCAGAGAGAGGGTAGGGCGGAGAGGCCAGGGTAGAGAGAGAGGGCATGGCAGAGAAGGCAGGGCAGAGAGAGGAGGGGAGAGGGCAGAGAGAGAGGAGAGGAGAGGGCAGAGAGAGAGGAGGGGAGAGGGCAGGACAGAGAGAGGGGGAGAGGGCAGGGCAGAGAGGGTAAGGGAGGAAGGGGCAGGGGGGTTAATGGTAAAAATCACGTATGTTTGTTTGATCAATGACAATATTTACTGTTATATTTAGATTGTATATTGATCTAGTGTTTAGTTATAGACTTAATATTATATTGATATACTAACAACACTTCAATATCTCTTAGTTATAGTTTTAATATTAGTTACTGACGACATGTGTTTCGGATTTTATACCCTCATCAGGACAACTCCTTCAAATATACAACGTATAAGTAGCTGACGACGTGTTTCTGATATACAATCATGATCAGGACAACTCTATTACATATATTGTGATGTACTAACAACACTTCAAAATATTGAGTTTTAATATTAGTAACGGGTATTTATAAGTAACGATATAAGCGTTTCTGATATTTTACCTTCATCAGGACAACTTCTCCAAATATAAGATAATTCGACATCTCTGACAACAGGCGCTTTTGATATTATATTCTCATCGGGACAACTCTTATGCAATACTTTAAAACCTCTTTGATCCGAGTTTTATTGTGTTTCTGATATACAATCCCCATCAGGACGAATTCTTCAAAGTTTCTTGGTTCGAACTTAAATATTAATACAGTCAAACATGCATTAAGCAAGTCGTCAAGGGAATGTTTAAGATTTCACTCTATTTGAAGGTGGGCGCTTTATGAAGTAGCAAAGATCAGATCATTTCGTCATTTTCTAGAAAGCCTTAGAAGGATTACTGTGTTTAAAATGATCAATGGGCAGTAAAGTTATAATTGGGGTGTTCTGAATAGGTCAGTAGGTCTGTTGTAAGAATTTCAGCCAAATTGGGTCGAATATTTGTCTGTTTTGTTGAGTTCACTTAAAGAAAATGAGAGAATAGCCATAATGGTAGAATTATTATTACACTTTTATCTAATATAGCCTACACATTGTTATAGAAAGGCTACTGTCCTTTAGAGTGATTTATTTCGTTATTAGTGTAACGACACATTATTCGTAACCTAATCTAATAATCTATAATCTATAGGCTTTACAGATCTCTGATTTATACCCTGACAGACGACAGACGACAGACGACAGTCAAATCCTGAACTTTTAATACTTTCAAAGCTTGGTGCAGCAAGGGTTAGATCAGTTTAATTAAAAATTTTATTATAATTTCTTTCTTTCTTTTTCTCCATTGTAATCTAACAGTTTTTCTACCACAGTCTCGTTCTTATGACCTTACATGTGTTAAACCAATCCTTCGAGCGTCGCGTCTTGACAACAATGGCAAATTGTGAAATGGCGAAAAACAAAGTAAAGCAACATGACAGCCTGAATATCCTATAATTTATATTCTAAGTAGATTATGATTGGATAAGCTCAAATAAGTAGTAGAGGTTGTAGCTAATGCCAGAGTTACGAAAGCACTGGCACAGGACGTTTATAGATATTTTCAATAAACAAACGTTGTGTTAAAGTAAGACGAGAATGTGAAAACGTTTTTATTTGAAAACGTTACGCAGGCTTCGCTCGGTCTTGCAATCCCATTCCTTTGGCTCAGATATTGATTATTCATAAAGTTTATAGCACGACTTGCAAGATCTAAGTGTAAATCTCGAATACGGGTTGCGACATGGTCTTATTAACCCTACCCCGAAGAAATATGACGAATGAGGGCGTGTTTTAGACACGATGAGGGCAAACAAGACTATGAATATGTAAATTATGAATTATAACTAGCTATGTTTAGATAACAGTTTTTATACAAACAATAAATAAAGAACATAACGACCTAGGTCCGGGACACTCAAATAATATGGGAAAGATCTGTACAGTATATTAATCGTTTATTAGTTGGGGGTCATTTTGATTTTTGTCACGTTTTTTGCATTAATGCTTTCACTTATTATGATACACAATTTAGGAGATTGTGCCAAAATAAAACTCTCCCATGGCACCATATGCATCCTGAATTATGGCTTCAGGCAGTAACTATGTTTCATACACCTAAGGCTTGTTCTAAATTTACTAAACCAATTAGTGGAGTGTCTGGTGTGTCGCGTAATCGCACATTGCATAACGAAATATTGACAGCTATACGCATGTGGCTCTCTAGTAAAATTGTCAAGAGGTTTCCTAATGCCTTTTCGATCTCCAATTTCAAACTAATAGAATATTCCTTCTGTTATATTTATACCCAATTAAACATGTTATATATGTTAGACTCTTTGAAAGGGATACTAAGTGGACAAACCTAAATATCAAATGAACGTTATAAACTATGTGGACTTCCTAAAAGAGATGACTAACCCACATTAGCTATGTAAACTCTCTGAAACTATGACAAGTTGACAAAAACAGGTGCAGAATGGTCTCGGGTATTAGATCCAGTCAAATTATTTCCGTCTCCTGGAATTTCCATTCTCACAGAGCTAATATGTTCAGAATTTCAGCCGGAATCGCATCTTTAATTTCATTTAAGCAAGTTGAGTTTGTAAATTTGTCGGTCAAGGCTAGGGTGCCCTGCTGTGAG